CCCGTGCAGTCCCGCTATATGAGTGGTACACGCGGAGAGCGCACTGGAAGGCGAGGATGCCGACTTTGAGGCGCTGGCGGAGTATTGTGGTCATGCGACGGTGAAGAGAGATCGAGATCCGTATGGCCGAGTTGAATGGCGGGAGTCTTACGTTGAAGGCGCCGCTGTTGAGAGTTGTGTCCGTTCGGCCTAGGCAGGACCGGCCGCCAGAGCTGCACTCGTTGTTCGGGCGTGCACCGGGCCGGTCGGAGGTGACGGAGGTGGTAGTCCAGGTGAAGTTAAGGGGTGAGAGTGTGTGGGTGGAGGGTGGTTTTGAGGATCAGGGTGCTGTGACCGATGCCACGAAGCTGATTGTCGTCTTCCTCTGCCGGCTGCCACACGTTTTGGAAGAGGGTTTTGTTGAGCAGCGGTTTGGGCTCATTTGGAGCCGGTGGGTGACAATGAACGATACCGAAGGGTTGGGTTCATCGATGGCGTGGTGCTCAAGAAGTCTATCTTTGGTGCGTTCAGGGGACACGGCATGTTCTCTATTGTTGGTTACCCCCGCCCCTTTGAAAAGGACGATGTCTACGAATCCGTACGGGATAATGACCTAGCCGAGGATCCGCTGAAGCTGGATAAGACGCAGGTTACGATATGTTAATCTTGCTGGGCTGGGCCTTTCTTCGCATTGAACCACTTATAAGATCTACCTCTGGGATGGTTATCTGCCCCAACCATAACGTAGAACAATTTTGTGTTGAAATATTTAATCTCATATGAAAACTCACTCAAGACATAGGAAACTAAGCGAGGCAATTTGTCACGCTCATTCATAACATTCAACCTGGCGATGTTGATGGTCTCTCAAACCAGGGGTTAACTCTCTATGGACCCTCCCCTGTTGATCGCTGTCTCACCTGTTCCCATGATTGGCCGAGCTCGGTCTCATTCGTTTGTATGTACGTCTTTCCCCGCGTTTCTCCAACCAGGCGGTTGCAGCGTGGATTCGCGGGGAGTGACATTGCCCAGCCGGAGAATTTCCCCCTTGAGGAGGACTGCCGACTTGGCATCACCAATCCTCCCAACGTCGTTGCATGCCGCAGGGCGAGCGGGCTACTCAGTTGCCTTGTTCGTCCCTCGCATAACAAGTGCGGCTGATCCCTATGGACGGATGATCTCACGCACCCTTCGGTTACCAACTGTGCCAACCTGCCCTCAGCGTCCCTCGGGCAGAATGCAACCTTGAAGAGCCAGGCCCAGTATCACATGTTTTGTCCTGGGCTCCGGCGAGGGTTGAAGCCGCGGCTACGACGTGGCCGTGGAATTACACAAGATGTCCTTGGACCCGGGGCGTGAGCGTGTCGAGGGTTCGAGTACGGCTGTCTCTACGCACCTAAAATTCTAAACCTCTAGGGGCTACCACCTGCAGGTTCACCACCTGAAGGCCCCCGCTTCCAACCTCTATACAATAGCTACACCTCCCCCTAATACACCGCTTGGTGGACTAACCACCCAACATGCGTTCCCTCCCCCACCTCCTCGCCGCCCTCCTCACCACCACCGGGGCGGCAGCCTTCGAATACAACACGTTCGACGGGCCCGGCTTCCCGTCCTGCTACAACGTATCACGGGTGCACAACGCCACCAGCGTCGCCGACATGGCCGCGGTGGTCAAAGAAGTTGCAGCCGCCGCCTCCTCCTCCTCCTCTTCATCCGCAGTCGGGCGCGTGCGCGCCGCCGGCAAGGGCCACATGTGGTACGACACGCAGTGCAGCGACGCGTGGACGGTGGTGGTGCGGACGGAGCAGGTGAACGCCATCTCCGAGTTTGCGCTGCCCGCGGGGGCGGACCGGGGCTCGGTGTGGGTGGAGGCCGGGACGACTTTTTTTCAGCTGGCCGAGTACTTGCACGCGCGGGGCGCGTCGGTGGGGTATACGTTGACGAATTGGAATATCAGCTTCGGGGGGAGCGTGGCGATGGGGGCGCATCGGTCGTCGATTCGCGAGGAGAGTATGGTGGCGGCGGGGGTGTTGGCGATGGATATTATTGATGGGAGCGGGGAGGTGAGGAGGGTGGTGAGGGATGAGGGGGACGATGAGTGGTTGGCGGCGTCGACGTCGTTGGGGTTGTTGGGTATTATTGCGAGGATTCAGCTGCAGGTGTATCCGGATACGAAGGTCTATGCTAAGCAGGCGACGTGAGTGATTGTTTACTTCAGGTACGCGAGGGAGAGAATAGGGGGCGTGGCTGACAAGTTTAGGCTCGACGAGAAGGACGTCCTCGACGGGGATATCTATGGCATGATTGCACCGTACGCAACCGCCAATCTCTGGGTGCGTGGTCCATAAGTAAAAGCAAACAACACCTTCGTCTGGTACTAACGGAACGCAGTGGTGGCCATACAAGCGCAAGTTCCACCACCGGTACTACGATCCGGTGCCTTCCAACTCGACCCCCCAGGAAGGTTTCCAGAACACCTTCTCCGTCACCGAGCTGGAGGCCATCGCCGCCCGTACCTTGCTCGACAGCGGCAAGTACCTGCCCACGTCCAACATGCTGGCCGAGGAGATATTCTTTGGCCTGTGGGAGAAGCCCAACTTCCGCGAGAAGACGACCAACGAAGAGATCAAGGAGTGGCCCGTCTACGGGTGGAACTACGACGTCCTCATCGGCGGCCTGTACCCGGACCAGAAGGCCGAGTGGGAGTACGGCCTGGCGGGCTACACGATGGAGCTGGCGTTCCCCATGCCGCTGGCAAACAAGATGTTGAAGAGGGTCCGGCAGCTGTTTGACGATGAGCTCAAGAAGGGGATCGTCATGACCTCGACGTACCGGAGCGGGATCAACATCAAGTGTGAGTTGTTGTTGTAGCTCCCAGGAGACAAGTAGTAAGTGAGATGCTAATAGCACGGCAGTTGGCAAGGCCTACTTTGACTTCCTCGGCCAGGTCACGTACAACACGACCGACGGGGCCGACTGGACCAAGGGCGCCATCATGTTTGATTTTCCCTCGTTCCGGCCTACCATTGGCGACCACAAGCGGTTCAACGAGCAGTTCTGTAAGGGAATATGGTATAAAGCATCCGGAACCACTGTTGAACTGACCGTGACCCAAAGACCACAGAGTAGCCAACACGCTCATCGACGAGTTCCCCGTGCCGCCCGCACTGGGACCAAGAATACCCGCGAAGTGTTTACTCGATCGGTCAAGAACCTGGATCCCAAATGTGGGTGTTTTAACCAGACCGATAGGGGTAGTTTGGATATCTTACTAACCAGATGCAGCACCTCGCTCGCTTCAAGGCTGTTCGGGAGCGGTTCGATCCCCAGGGCATCTATCGGAATGTGATTGGGGAGATTCTAGGTTTTTATTAACGCATTGCTGCTGTATGTACATGGGCACATACATTGCTAGGTACCTCTTAAAGACTTGTCCTTCTCAAGGAGCCCCAGCCCACCTGCATGATGCCTCGGTTTCTCGCCCGTATGCCGACCTCTTTTCGCCACCCTAGACTCTAGGTTTATAAGCCTTTTTTGAAAAGTCGTTTCACTGGGCACGTAGTGTAAGGGTACACCCGGGTCTCATTATCCGCCGGAATAGCTGGTTCGATTTCGGCCGTGTCCACATCTTTTTACTTTTTACTTGTAGTTATTCTGTTTCTTATTAGGTCATCTTCTATGCTTCTCATAAGAGACTATCACCACTTACTTTTTGTTGGGATTCTTTCCGCATATTAAAAAACATCATCTTGCCACACATGATGTTCTTTCACGTTGTCGACTAGCTTCAAGGAGGAAGGTGTACTCTAGGCAAAGCTGTGAAAGGAAGCCCCCATCATCCATGATCCCCATCCTTAATCGTAGCTGCACGTTTAAGTTTGAGTACCTGCACTTCCCCCGGGGCCTGGTCGCGCACCAAAACGTTTTACCTGCCTGTCGTGGCTTACGCGCTCCATCTATTATCATATCGTTTCATGAGTCATGATCCATCATCCAACATCCATCGGCCATCTTTAGTTTCTCTCTCCCGGGTCGTGATAATACTCGTATTTTCTCTTCGTTTTTCTTGGGATGCCACAATTACCCAACATCACTGTCTCCAACCAAACCACTTGGGCGCGCAGTTTTAGGTCCATCGTTTCGCCATCCACCGTTGCAGGTTGACGGCTGACATGGGCGGAACCAAGAGCTCAATGCCAGCTGGTCAAATGTCCAGCAATCGAGTGGTAAAGACAAATCACAAGACGGTTGCAGCCAGATTCAATATCGGGGTGCTGCGCAGTATGGAAAAAGAGCTGTTGAAGGATCCCGAGGCCAACATCGGCGACCTTCTATCCTCTTCATATCCTAAGTACCTCAAGTCGTTCAGGGAAGGAGGTGAGAATGCTCAATATTACTCAATACCTAATTACATGAAAGTCTCCCTCGCCTTGCGAACCCGGACCTGATTTAAATTGGAATACGTACCTAGATTGCCGGAAAACCCCGCGACGGCTTCCCAGCCATGACATCCGCTCCAGGCTTCACAGTACCGATTCTGCAACTATTGTATGCGAGTTGTCTACTGAGCTCCAGAATCTTCTCGGACGCTATAGACAACTCTCCGGCGCTGTTATCAAGCTATTGGATAAAAGCGAAGTACTCTACAAAAGCCCGTGGGCCGCTTGTTGCATGGTTTTCCGTGTCAGCGACGGAATCGTCGCGAAAGTCACCCTCGAGGAGCTCATCACAACTGAATATCGGACCCTGCCGTACCTACAGGAACACTTGCCGCGCTTCCCGGCGCCACGTTTACATGGCGTGATCCGCATCGGGCCGTATGGCTTGCTGTTCACCTCTTTCGTCTCGGGCCTCAACTTGCAGAAAGTGTGGCCTGAATTGGATGACGCCCAGAAACAGTCCATCAGCACCCAGCTTGACAAGCTCCTCATCGACCTCCGATCCCTTCCATTTCCGCCAAACACGCCGCTTGGTGGGATAGGCGGCCAGGGCTGCAAAGATGGAAGACGAGTTGTACGCATCAGCCACAAGCCCGTCCTGGATGTCAGCCAATTCCAAGATTTCATCTTCGCTGGCTCCACAACCGCCTCGCAAATGTACACTCAATTCCTGCGATTTCTGATGCCCACATCCCCGGCAAAAGTCACCTTCACCCACGGAGACATCCGCCCGGCAAACATCATGGTGCGCCAGGACGAGGAAGGCTCTTGGACCATTGTTTCCATCCTTGACTGGGAGTCGAGTGGCTTCTATCCCGAGTACTGGGAATGCGTCAAAATGACCAACAACTTAACCCCGAGAGATGAGGACGACTGGTATCTGTGGCTGCCGGAGTCTTCGTCGCCACGGCAGTTCCCAGTGCAGTGGCTGATAGACAGGATTTGGGATCCCAACCTGGAGAACAGCTAGATTACCAAGTGCATACTTTAACTGAACCTGGCTTATAAGTCTAGCTATCGTTGGATGGCATATGAATAGAGTCGTTGAACAGCGTTAAATGTGTACATCCTTTGAATGTAGTTAGGCTGTAACGGGACCTGTTTGTTGGTTCTATCATCTGAGCAATGATGGCAGGAGCTACTGTTGGAAAGTCATGGCACCGGAAACGGTCATGACACCCGGAAACGGACAAGGTACCAGAAACGGATTCATGGCATTTGGCACCACAAAGTCTCGGATGACCACGGGTTACCTTAAGGAGACAAAGGAGAGATTTAGGATAAATGTCACGGATATGCCGACGGGCGGAACCACAGGCCAGTCGCTAAACAAACCAATCAGGGAACCCACATGAGTGGCTCAGTGAGCTCAGTTGGAGGGTACAACTGAGCACACTGAGCACACAGGACTTAGATAGGTATATAGTCACTCGTTCTGGAGAGCTCTGGGAGTTCTCCAATTAGCAATCACAACTACAGTTCGCTACAAGCTCGGAAGCCTACTGTTGAGACAAGCCTTTGTTGTGCACCTTTTGGCTGCACCGAACCTAAGCACCCTTGAGAGATTACCTTCAACCGAAGCTGAGCCCTAACAGGACAGGGTCCTGAAGTAGGTTCGTCACAATAGAGCCACCTGCTCTGAAGAACTCTAAGAGGAGAAGAGGGTAGACTCAGAGATCAATTGATCACTTCTGAGTTGCTCAAGAGCACCTCAAATTTATTGTTGCAAGTCCCCATCATTTGTGAGATAACTTTGGAATCGTGGCTGTTGGTTTTCCAACAGCTACTTACAGTCTTACCCCGGAAGGGGGTGCGTTTACAGTTTACCCCGCTCTAGCGAGAGTCCACATTCCACTACAGATTCACATCCTCTGTAACCATCCATCATACCATCCATCATTCCTGACGAGGCACTCTCCCATCATGGGTCGCGTTTGTGCGGATTGCGGGCGCGACCTTCCCCAGACCTCGTACACTTCCAACCAGTGGTCCAAAGGTATTGGGCTGTCGCGATGCGCCGGCTGCGTTCACGGTCATTCCTTCGACACGCCTGCTCTCGAGCAATCCGACAGCGGCCGGTACAATCAATCCACAAAGGCCGACTTTTCCGAAGATGACCTCGAGAATCCTTTCGCATCGGGTGCTTTTCGCTGGGTTGCCAGGGGAGTTTACACCGGCGGCACACGATCTGGCCAAGCCTGCGTTTTGAAATGGTTCAAGACGGGCGTTGTCTTCGAAGCTGAATACTTTGCTCTCGACATCAAGGCGGTCGATAAAGCTCTGGAGATTGTGAACCGCTTCAATGAGCTGAATATGGTCAACAAGACCGTCAAGATCAACGTACCCGCGGTGTGGGTGTTCCAAAAGCCGTGTTCCCGGGCTGGCCAGAAAGCCCTGGTTGAGCCCTTCATCCAGAACTACAAAAAGTTCAACAGCAACACTGGTTGGATGGACGATTGGGGGCGGTGGCCGCAGGTCATGCAGGCCTTGAGCCGTAGGTGAAACCCTAACACTGATCCATGGATCACAACAACCCGTGACGTCCACTGAGTCGGTCTGACTGATAACATTTTTCTGCTACCATGAAATAGACTTCAGCTACCACATCTCGGGCGGAAACCACGTGCTTTGCGACCTGCAAGGCGGCATTTACCAGCACGAGCTCGTCCTATCCGACCCGGTGATCCTCTCCAGCAACGGCGACTACGGCGTCACCGATCTCGGCCGCGACGGCATCATTTCCTTCTTCAGCCAGCACGACTGCAACCAGTACTGCCGCCCCAACTGGACCAAGCCCGCCAACCCGCGCCAGCTCTTCAAGCCGGTCCCCGGCACCACCATGCTCCGCCGCACCGTGCCGACCGCCTTCTCCCGGCCCGGAAATACCCGTGATTACGGGAACTGGTACTGACTGGTGGAACGAGCTGTGGAGAGTTACGTCCTTGGCCCTTGGGGTATGCGGCTGGAACCCTGGGAGGACATGATACAGAGAGTGTTTTCCTCCGAAGGAGTCGGAAGGACCATGTGACGTAGTTTGGACCACCGTTTCTAGCTGCGTGTGGTTTCAGATTCCCACAGTTTAAACCACGGCACTTCGTAGATGTCTAGACTTCTCAATTGATGCCTAGACGCACACTACTCACACTTAAAGCGACGTGTGATATGTTGTAATGATGGTGCTAACACGTCTTAAACAAGATGACCAACCTAGGTATGTAATAAACAAAATACAAGTGAAAAAAGAGTGGACACGGCTGGACGAACCAGCTGCTCCGGGCCGCCGGAAAATGAGACACCCGGGAGCGTATAGCAACACCACGATGCGCCCAACAAAACTCACTGTTGAAAAGAGTTTATAAGACTTGATTGGTTGCTGGTCGACGGTTTCCATGTCTTGGCATTGATCCCCAACTGCCGCAACTGCCTCATCATTTCACTCCTTTTCTCTTTTGATTCAGATCACTCAGATTCAACGACGCCATGTCGTCTCAACTGCCCAACATCGACGACCAGCTCGTCACGCCCACCAACCCGGCACGGGAAGACCTCGATGGCATGGACCACGCGCGATGCGCTGCTCTCCATAACTACCTCATCGACTACTGTCTCGCGGCTGATGGCCGGCTCAACGAAGCTGGCGAGGGCAACCAGGCCATCTACTTCAGCACATTCGGTGAGGCGGCCGAGGCCGTCCGCCAGCGGCTCCATCCCTCGGTGGCCGACTTCCTCACCGCGGCACGCACTCCCGATGCGCCGCTCTTCTACTTTGTCGACGGCATGCCCGGCCCTGACTGGGGCAACTTCAACGGCCTCTTCGCCAACGAGACGGCTGACCTCGAGGACGAACCCGAGGACTCCATCGTGCGCCTCTACTACTCCCACCCGGACGCCTGCGGCGGCAAGTCGGGCGGCGGCATGCTCTACCACCAGCGCCGCCACCTCGCCTGCTTCTTTGTACACCCAGACGACACCGAGTGTGCGTTCCCGGTGGACGATCATCCGCAGTGCTGGCATCACCTGGAAACGATCCTCTCCCATTGGATAGCGCTGATCCGCCTCGGCAAGGTCGTCGCCTCTCCCAACAACGAAGAGCCGGGGCTATACGGCAGTCTCAAGATCGGGAACTGGGAGTGGCGGCCGTATGGCGAGGGTCAGGTAGCCGGGTGCGTCGCGGCATGGGACCAGCTCTGCGGCGCCATCGAGGTGCGGCGTCGGCAGAGCAGCGTGACCACGATCGATGACGACCCGGACAACCCAGCCAACAACCGTCCCAGCGGCGAGCCCTTACTTCCATCAGCAGCCCTGGACGCAGCCAAGATCGCCCACCCCTTCCTTCGCGCGCGCCTTTCTCAGCCTTCGCGCGCCGCCCCCGACACATCCGGCAGATCGCCCCCGGGCTCTCCCTCCCCCCGCCAGACGCGGCCGCGTTCGCCGCCGCCCAGCCCTTCACCCACTTCATGCCCCGGCAGGCGCGCCACTGGCACGGCACCGAGCCGGACGGGGTCGTGCCGCCCGTGTACCTGTTCTTCAGCCACGCGGGCGCGCCGCCGGTCGACGTCTCCGGCTGGCGGTTGCCCTCGTTCCGCGGCCGCTGGGACGACGGATCGGAACACGGCGTCGCGTTCCCGTCGCGTGTGCCGCCGGGGGTCTACACCGAGTGCGTCAACCGCTCCGAGCCCGAGGCGACTGAGGAGGGATTCCGGATGTTGCTGCCTTTTGGTCTGTACGGCGCGCGTCTGACCAGTGGTGGTGGGGTTCGGAATATGGCGGCCGATGAGCTGTTTCAGCATGGGTTCAAGCCGTTTGGGGGGGACCCGAACCGGCCCCAGCGCCTGGAGCGTTTGTTAGGCCATTGGGCGGACTTGGTTGAGCGGGGGGTCTGGGCTGTCGGGCCATATGGTGTGGAGGGCTCGATCGAGGTGTTTAGGGATGCAGCGGTGAATTGGGCGGATTATACCATCCCGTCGAGCTGGTGAAGTGGTAAGGCGCATTTCAACTTTGAACTACCCTCAAACCCCAATGTTTGAATTTGAATTGATTGATTAATCCTAGAAATTGAAAAGCTCAAACCGACTGGTTGTCAATGGATTGAAGCCACGTGACAAATCGACCATTGGGGTATGCAGGAGTGCAGGAGCGCAGGTGCGTGTGTTAGGCTGTCAGGCCGCACTTGCAAGTTGCAACTTTCTTCATGTTGACCGCAGCGTTTGAAATTTTGAATTTTGAACGTAGCCCACAAATTAACGATTCAGTCAAACACATTATTTTCCAAAACTCGCTCAAATGCATTACTGTGCTGAGTGCGATCGCTATTTTGGGAGCATGGAATCGCTTCAACAGCATCGCCGTGACTCAGCTCAGCATGCCTATGGGGCCCGTACCTCCAACTCGACAACCGGCTCATTATTTGGGCCGACCACTGGCTCAATATTTGGATCGACAACCACCTCATTATTTGGACCGAGGGCAGCAACTGCACACTCTGTTGCCCAGACAACACCATTGCCGGCAGCTTCTGAAAATGCCGCCCCAGCGACCCAGACAGCCACAGCCCGCGATACGGCCGAATTTGATATGATGGATGCGATTGATACGATCGAGACCTCTGAAATTCTCATAGATGCTCTAAAAGGGTATGTCGTGACTACCCTATCATTTGATTATTTCTCTCTCCCTGTGTGGGTCGTTTCCCTCTTTGGAATTATTAAGTGTTGACAATGGTGCTCCAAATAGGCTCTATACTAGCGGGGAGTACTCGGATCTTGTCATCTCCTGCCAAGGAAAAGAATACAAGGTGCATAGGGCCGTCGTATGCACCCAGTCCGACTTCTTCTCGGCAGCTTGCCGCGGAAGCTTCAAGGTCAGTGACAGTCCACGCACCAGCAAACTAGCAACGACGCCAAACTAACACAATAGCAGGAGGCACAAGAAGGAAAGATCGACCTCCCAGATGATAATCCTCGCCTTGTCCACATCATGGTACATTATCTGTACCACTTCAACTATGACCCAGGAATGGACGGACACGAAACCGACGTCGAGAACCCAGCAGAGGGGCCCCTTTACACTCATGCGCGGGTTTACGCCTTGGCAGAGAAGTACCTGATCCACGGGCTGAAGGCTGTCGCACTTCGACAATTCAAGACAGCTACTGCGAGCTCCGTCGACATCACTGATTTCCTTCAGGCCATGGAGGAGGTGTATATGTCTACTGTGGAGGATGACAGAGGCTTAAGGGATGTTGTCGTGGAGGCCATTTGCAAGCACCCCGATTGGCTAGACAAGGAGGAGGTACGAGATGTGCTTGGGAAGCTGGGAAGTTTGACGTATGATATGGTTATACACATGCGCGAAAACGGCCTTTTCAGGCTTTTCTAAACCTAGGGTCAGTTCACACGTTGACAAGATGGCCCCGATGGCCCATGGGGTGTGGAAAGTGATGTTTCACAATCAAGTACATATCTAGCTGTCGACGTTCATGCTGTCAAAGAAGACTTGGGAACAACCAAGGTGCGTATGTACAAGGAAGAGCCTAATTGGCAAAAGAACTTGTCAACCTCGATGCAGCCGACTCTTCCGGAACCGAACACGATCTGGTTGGCGTCGGTATCAAGGAGAGAAGGATCAAGTGCATGTTTCGCACAAACTGTTAGATTTCTTCAATTTCTTATGATGCAAACTACAAATTAATACTCCCATTGTTCATAATAGGCCTAACTTATGCTCGTTGGTAAGAAATCTCCATGTAAATTGGTTTTGTTGCATTTGACTCCGGAGGGATCTGGCACCTATTCAACTTAAATCAAGTCGAGCACCACTTCACAAGTCCAAGCAGGCAAAACCCCATCCCACTTTATCAAATCTTTCACTTCCACTGCCATACCACTATTAAAGGATCCACTTGAAATAACCTCGACTATGTCCGAGGCAGAACAGCTTCGGGATCGGCTCGACATTTTCTATTTCCTTTGTAGAATATGGCACTTTTACCCCCGAAATATCCCACTACTAGAAGCTCGCTGCAGTGTGACAATAAGCATCCGGTGCCTTCATTTCTCTATGATTAATGGAAGACTGGAAGCCAATCCAAGCCAGTGCCCGTGCAGTAGAAGAGATATATTCCATAAGAATTGAAAGTAAACATTCAACAGCGAACCCCTAATACTGGGTTCACGGTTTGTCCTGGTGGCAATCCTAAACAGCCCCTTTTGACCCCTTTTCCGACATCAACAACAAAAGCGCTCACACTCGTGGTGAACTTACAAACACAATTCACAACACAGCCCTCTGTCCATAGCACTCGTATTACTACCACTTGTCTGGGTCTTGATTCTTTAATTAACATTGTACCCTTCACCCGCTCAACCTTTCACCATGAGTAACCACGCAAGAACGGCTCAACGACGAGCTATTACGGACTAATCTGCCTACCGGTGAGCCGTCCCGCCCAGAATCACTCATCCTACTCACGAAAACTCGAGTCCCAAATCTCGTCGGCCTAGCCGCACGCACTTCCACTCCTTCGACCCCCTTGCCGCTGCCATCCGTACCCCTACCCCCCTCCAGCCCGCCCGGCATATCACCATGGTCATAAGCCACCATCACTCTGCACATCACCATAATTACCACCGCCACCTCCCCCATGACCATACCTAAACTATCTCCACCCCCATAACCGCCATCCCCATACCCCCCTGTCCACCACCCTCACCCTCACCCTTACCAGAACCAGAACCAGAACCAGAACCAGAACCACCAGGCCCCCCAATCCCCACCCCGTCCACGGCGCGTTCCCCTCATTTGCATCCCCACCCGAACAACTCTCACCCCGTCCCGGATGTGGGATAGGGATGCGGATGCGGATACCGGCCACCCCCGGGCCACCCCGGATGTCCCGGATGTCCCCGGCCCACTCCGTCCGGCAACGGCCAGCCCTTGGGTACCGGTGGTATACGCCCGTCTTGGGTACGTGTGGCGCGTGGGTGGTGACCGTCGGCGGTGGAATAACCGGGTTGCTGGTCCTCGTCCTTCCGGTGGTGGTTGGTTGTGGGTGGTTGGTGGAGCTGGTGGGTGGGTTGTCCTTGGTG